TATGAGTCTGTAGGACCCAGAATGAGTCTGTAGGACCTAGTATGAGTCTGTAGGACCCTTAGTGAGTCTGTAGGACCCAGAGTAAGCCTTTAGGATCCATAATGAGCCTGTAGGACCCAGAATGAGCCTGTAGGACCCAGAATGAGCCTGTAGGACCCAGAATGAGCCTGTAGGACCCAGTATGAGTCTGTAGGACCCAGAATGAGCCTCACTCAGTATGAGTGGAACACCGATTGAGCGGAAATCGGTGCTGTATATCAGCAGCGTTTCCTCAAAGGTTGAAAGAGGTTCCAGAGAGATGCTGCGTTTTTACGGGCGTCATTCAGCCACTGGCGCCTTTTTCTGTCAAACTGCTGCATAAAAGCCGGAGTCTCCGTTTCTGAGGCTTCCAGCGGTTCGGCTCCAGGCTGCAGACCGTCTTTTATTATTACCCGAGCCTGTATATTTCAGCCTTTGTCCGTCTGGGAGCCGCGAACCGAAAGAGGAAATGATTCCCTCCCAGATCATCAGGTCGTTAGAGTGAAACGCCACAAAACGTCCCGAATAGGGCGAAAAATATTAAAGCCATCCATTTTTCTGCTCTGCCGGGGTCCATTCAGGGCGGTCCATTCAGTCCATTATTTCCAAAAGGTCCTCTGACCTTTAGACAAGAAAAGGATGTAAATAAAGATGAATGATGATTAAATAGATCAATAAATTGTGCTTTTTATATAGGAGAGAGCTTCTCTTTTAGCATACAAACCATGGAAAACACTATTAATTATTCATGCAAACTAATAAACTGATTTCAAATCAAACTAATTAAACTAATTTCAAGGGAATCATATTAAACAAAAACTTAATAAATAAGTGTTTTAATACACTGTAAAGAGAACTTAAGACAGCTGACTGAAAATTATTAATGATCCAGGCAATTAAGATAAATAAATAATGTAAATATTTGATGGAAACTTTGTTCTCAATGACAGAATTTTCAAATTTCTTTTAGATCTGTAGCCTTAATTTGAAATAACAGTCTGATATCAGGGTGGGGTGTCATTAGGTTTTTTTTAGGTCGATTTTTCTCCTTTTTCTGCAGCACTCTGATGTATAATTTGCCCTTTTCTCCAGAAGCGGAGCTCAGTATGATGAACGAGTCCTCAGTTCTGTGTGGAAACGGTCAGAAATCCTACAGATTTGTTCAGCAGCTGCAGTGAAAATCCCCAGTTTGGGAGCCAGAGACGACAAACTGAGGCTCCATTTGGGCTCTGACGAGAACCAGGTTTTTAGAGCCCCCCTGTACATGTCTGAGGCTTTAGAGGACCATAACCAGGTCTTTTAAAGACCCCCATTTGCAGGTCTGAGGCTTTAGAGGTCCAGAACCAGGTTTTTATGCAGCTTTAACTGGTTCTGGACTGGATCAGGGGGCAAGAGCAAGTAGAAATGAGTTCTATTACGGATTGATGGACAAACACACATGTGCTGTTTGACTGGTTCGGTATCCTGCCAATGTGACCTCTGACCCCATCCAAACGGCGCCATCAGCTGTTCGCTTCTCACCTGTGCTGCTGGTCAGTGGGAGGACAGCCGGCAGCCATTAGACCTGATCCCAGGTTTCCCAGAAGACGGCATAGAAAAGAGCCCATTAAGCTGTAATTACCACAGAAGAGGATGGTCAAGCAGAGCCGCCGCACAGAAGCCCATTAAGCGATGGAGCGAAAGGTGGCGCGCCTCATGCATCATTCCACCGCAAATCTCTTCACGGCCGCTAATGACGGCAGTTATTTAGTCGTGAGCGACAGGCAGAGTGAGCAGGATGGTGGGCTGAAATGAGCCGTCTACACTGGCTTTTCCTGCACGTGATGCGGGAAAATCAGCTGAAACAGTCTATTGGTGTGAAAATCGGTTGAAACTCAGCCCTTTGGTGGGAAAACCAGCTGAAACTCGGTCTTTTGGCAGTAAAATCAGCTGAAACACTGTCTTTTGGCGGGAAAATTGGTCTTTTGGGCGGGAAAATTGGTCTTTTGGGTGGGAAAATCAGTTGAAACGTTCATTTGGTGGGAAAATTGGTTGAAACGCTGTCTTTTGGAGGGAAAATCAGCTGAAACTCGGTCTTTTGGTGGGAAAGTGCTGAAAATCTATCCTACGACGGAAAAATCGTCTGAAACTTGGTTCTTTGGCGGGAGAATCAGCTGAAACTTGCTTTTTTTGGCGGGAAAATCGGTTGAAACTCTGTTCTTTGGTGGGAAAATTAGTGGAAACGCAGGAAAATCAGCTGAAACTCTGTCTTTTGGCGGTAAAATCAGCTGTAACACTGTCTTTTGGCGGGAAAATCTGTTGAAAATCGCTCTTTTGGGCGTTGAAATCAGCTGAAACATGTTCATTTGGTCAGAAAATTGGTTGAAACTTTGTCTTTTGGAAGAAAATCAGCTAGAACTCGGTCCTTTGGCACCCCAAAGCACTCTGATTTACAGAAATCAGCATGACTTCTATTTATTGGCCCCAAAAATCTAGTCAGCAAGGCCTGATCTCCCTGTAAGATGAGAAGTCCAGAGTCCAGGAGTAATTTTTTAACAGTTGCATCTGCTACGAAACTCAGCCAGTCCAAACAGTCCCGACCCGAGCAGGAAAATCTGTGTCACCCATCGGCTCGGCCCCCATCGACCCACTGCCCGCCACATGCCGTCGTTAATTACAATTATTAATTGGAAATTGGAAATCAATGGCTGTGAATTAAACAGAAATGTTCCTGCTCGTATGTGGGTCAGCTTGGCTCCAGCTGGCGCCTCTCTGGCTCCCAGCTCATCAGCAGCTCCAGTTCAGATGATTAGTTGTTTTCATTTAAAGCAAACATGCCAAACGCCAAATAATCTGATTATATAAATTTATATCAGACAAAATCCAACACTGCTCAGTCTCACTTTGTATGGAATACCGAAAGTGACTAAATAAAAAATAAGGAATATGTGAATGTGTCAGTAAATAAATGCATCTGCAAAAAAATGCAGCAATTACGTAATTAAATGTGACATATTTTTATGATTAAATAATCAATTCCGCCTGTCATTTTTCTCCTGTGTGAACCACATGCACAAACCGGTTCCCTGGGGATTCAAACCGGGAACCCACTGACACACCAACATACAAAATGTGACTGAGTTTTGTGGTTGGTTTGACGTCTACAATTAGGGCCGAATCGACCATAAAGATCCCTCCATCCATTTTTATTTCCTGCCTTTTCTGTGAGATCTCACTACTGACTCTGACTGGGGATTTTCCTCCAGAGAGCTGATTGTCAGATTATTGAAAACTAGAACATTGTCTCTGCTTTCTGAGTCGCTTTGGATAAAAGTGTCTAAATGCAGAAACAGAAAAATAAAATCCCTCAAAACTGCTCAAAAGCCC